TGAAAATGGATAAAGAGACAATCCACTGTATCTACCAAATAGATGAATGTAAATGACAATAACTATAAAAATAAAAATTGTATGACAGATATATGAAAAATGAAAGCAGAAATGAAAAAATAATTATTCCCTGCTGGATTTATAAATTACCAAGCTCTTGCAAATAATATAACCCAAAATATATGTTGAATTCTGAAATTTCGTTAATAGCATCAACAAAAATCCACATTAATTCTGTAACCAAATTAATAATTCGACTTTCTATTTCTCATGAACATATAGAAACTAAAGTACGCATAAACTTGCAAGTAAAACAGACTAAAAATCACATTTTTGGGGCACGCATCATATATTTAAATAATATTATAAAGAAAATGCAATCAAATATAATGTATCTGGGTTTTGTTAATTTGTATAGGGAAGATGGTTTGAAGCCAATGGACGCAGAACAATTTAGGGAGCGTGCTCACAAAATGGTAGACTTCATTACTGATTACTACAATTTGAAGTTGAAGTACATGCAGCAGAGCGCCGACAGATCTCATTTGGTTTATTGGTTGAGTGGACGAGTGTTTTGTAAGTTTGAATTCCAATTTTCAATTTTAACGTGTAGGATTCGAGTTAGGTTACTGAATTAAGGGTTTACTAGTAATGTTAATTGAGACAGAATTTTGGTGAAGCCCATTATCAAAATTGTCCAATTAATTTTGGAAAAGAACAATGGAAAGCTCAATTGGCAATTGCTCAATTAATTTTTTTAAACGGGTAATCGGTTCGAGACGGGGCACCGTCGCTAAATATCATACCTGCTCTATCCCGAATCGGGTCATTAAAATCAAAACTATAATCACCACATTGCACCATTGGTTCGTTTTTTTCGTCCCATTCAATTCGATAAATCGAGACTTTCGATTTCAACCGTTCGAATTACCATCCATAAATTAGCCCAATAAAATATCACAAAAGTCATTGTCTCTCTGTAATTTACTCTAATAAAATTCCTGTTTTAACCTTCCCTTGAATGGTCTTAAAAATCTCTCTCTCTCGCGTCGCGACCCAAGCTAAGTTAGGAAGAACATACCCCACATATCAAACCCTAGGTTCCTGTCCTGCCAAAAATGATGCAACCGACCACAACCATGGCCCCACCACCTCAATACCTACAACCACAAGCCCCTCAACAGTGGATGACGCAGCAACCGCAGTACCAAGTTCAACAACCGCAACAGCCACCGGCAGGGGCTGGTTATTACTACCAGCAACCACCCTCACAGGCTCTGGCTTCCACCGCCCCATCCCAACAGCCGCAGCCTCAGCAGTATGCTGCTGGCAACGCCGCTCAACCTACTGCAGATGACGGGATCCGTAGCCTCTGGATCGGAGATCTGCAGCCCTGGATGGATGAGCAGTACATCCTCAACATTTTTGCCTCCACAGGCGAGGTAATATAAGAATACACGCACAGGTGTAGATGTCATTATTAATTGCTATTTTTGTTATTGCTTAATTGATCGATTATATTGTTACCACGTGTTGGATTAAAATGTTTTGAATTTTCTCTTTAGATATTCAGTTCAGATTTATATACACATGCAGCTGTTTTTTCTTGCCTTCTCTAAACTTGTGGGGTAGATACACTAATTCGATTCTGTATTGTATTTGTATGTTTAGTTGATGTGAACATACATGATACATGTCTAAATCTGCATCTGCATCTTTAATTAACTTAGAGCTTCTTCAATATGCTCTTTATATACGAAATGCTGAGCCAGTGTTTAAAAAATGAGCTTCAAGAAGAGAGAGAGAGAGAGAGAGCCAAATCTACTGATTCTACTCTCTATTCTCATGTAGAATGATTGCATTTAATAAATCATATATTTTAATATTTTATTTCTTAAACCATTCAAACTACATTTAAATTGATTGGCAAATCGACATATAAAAAATTATGTTAAATAAAATATGAATAGAAATCAATAAATGTTTATTGAGAAAATCAAAATGAAGAGCCAAAATAGATAAGCTGTTAGAGCATATCCAAGAGACTCATAAAATTAACATTTTAATTTAGAGATTGGGTTTGGTTTAATTTAGAGAGCCAAACCCACTCTCTATAATTAAATGCATTTAAAGTGTTTCAATTTTCAACGTAGGAAAATAATAAAATAATCTAAAGAGAAGATAGTTAAAATAAAAGAAAATCAAAAATAATAAATATTTTTTGGGAGTAAAATTAAGTGTTAAATATAAAGAACTTGTTGGAGTACTTCAAAATTTTAACTCTCTAAATTTATAGACGTTCTCAAAATGATAGAATATACTCTTTAAAAATAGAAAGTTTGAGATACTCTTAGAGTGTGTAAAAATTTTGACTCTCTAATTTTAAATATGCTCTCTATAATACATAAGATGCTCTTTATTTTATAAATAAAAGTCTCTTGGAGATGCTCTTATATATTTCAAGAGTGAGATACGTGAACATCTTCTGTATTTCATGCAAGCATGAAGCAACCACTAATTGAGAAAATTGGGTATGTGGTAAAATAGATTTTAAGCATGTATGATGGAGTGAATTGGGAAAAAGTTATTACATTTTACAAATGATTAGGATCTTGCCAGTGGGTTGCCGCTGCAAAATGGTGGAAGGGAGTCCTTTTAGTTTCATCTCTTTAGTACTGCTTTGTTCTCTTCTGATATATTGCTTTTTGTGTTCACGTTTCACCCAGTTGCTAGACTGGTTGCTATGTTTGTATTTAATATAATTTTTCTCAAGACAACGCTACAGGCCATGAATCAGTCGCGTTGTCCATGTGTATCTATGTTGTCTATGTATTGAACAATGCAGTAAGGTATTAATCCAAACAATGATTCTCCCATGCCCCCATTTCCAATGTTAGAAAGGCGTAAATGGTTATTGAGATGTTTTTCTTACGTGAGAGGCGAGGTATAAGCTTGAGGTGGTTTGAGGTGTAAGTCTGACCACAAACTAAAAAACCAGGTCAATTTTTTTTTTAAATAAAAATAAACTTCTTGGTTTTAAAAAGGTTGGCACACAACAATTGACGGTTATAATAATCTTCAGCTTCAAAAGGTGTTAACTACATACTTAACACACACGTTGTTAAAGAAGATTAAAAGGCCCAACTGACTATTCATATTAGTTTTCCTGAAAAACACATGAACTTAACGAAACAGATGAAGAAATTAATGAAAGGAAAAAAATGAAAGAACTAAAAAAAAAAATAGAAGAAGAAGGAATAAAAAATCAGAAAAAATTGATATCGGATCTGCCGTGAGCTGTCGGTATTGCTGGAGATACCGCTAGCCACTGAAGTAGTTGTAGAACTGCTGAAGTTTTTTCCTTGTTTGTCTTGGGTGGAGTGTTAATTTGTTATAATACTAGTTCTTTTATGGTGAGTGGACATTAGAATTAGTTGGTGGGCTAACGTATCTGTGTTTTGAATACCCCATAATAGGCACACACACCCTACTTGCCTTGAGGCATGCGCCTCATTTGTGTGGTTATTGTGAGTAGCTTCTCAAGGCAGATTGTATGTGCCCCAAAATGAGGCGCGCCTTGAGGTGCATTTCAGTACCGCCTCTTTAAACCATGCCCACTCCTGCTCCTGATGTGGCTCCCCTTCTTTTCTTTCCTTTCTCCCCTCTGGGATGGGGACTTTTTTGGTGCACTCACCATAATAATTCAAATGTTTTAATAAGTGGGATTCATCCTAATGAAAAGAATAAATTTAAATGGTGGCATACTGGTAGTACCTCTAAAGTGGGTAATATTTCCTACTAGATTATTTGTTCTCCATAGTTTTTCTTGAGATTTTGCTAATGGTGTATTTTGAGCTCAATCTCTTTTGTAACCTCGAGTGTTTTTAAGATCAGGTGGTCTCTGTTAAGGTCATCCGAAACAAGCAAACTGGTCAGTCAGAAGGATATGGCTTTATTGAATTTGTTAGTCATGCTGCTGCGGAAAGGAATCTGCAGACCTTTAATGGCAACTTAATGCCAAGTGTTGAACAACCTTTCAGGCTGAACTGGGCATCTTTGGGTGCTGGTGAAAAGCGTGATGATACTCCTGACTACACTATATTTGTTGGTGATTTGGCTGCTGATGTTACTGATTACATGCTTCAAGAAACATTTACGGCCAATTACTCTTCTGTAAAGGGCGCAAAGGTTGTAACTGACAGGCTAACGGGACGCACAAAAGGCTATGGATTTGTTAGGTTCGCCGACGAAAGTGAACAATTGCGTGCAATGACTGAGATGAATGGAAGGTTTTGTTCAACCAGAGCCATGCGAATTGGCCCAGCTGCTACCAAACAAACAGCTGGTGGCCATACCAAAGGTATGTATTATCCTTCCGGTAATTTGGCTAAGCTGTTGGATTGCTAGTAGAGCATCAAACTCGCTCATACCTGCTGAACTTGGCCTTAATTATTGGTCTCATTTGTTATGATGTACTTTGATTGCTGAATTTGACAGTTCCATTGATTTGGTGGCTTTTGTTTCCCTGAAATACGTGCAGTAGTGATGTTTCTCTGTTGAACAAAGCTATTAAGTTCGCTTTCTTTCAGTTATGCTGTTGAATTCTTGAAGACGAGCACTGCTTGTCATATCATTCCTGCTCTTAAAAAAATTCAGTTTGGAATATTAAATTTCCCTCATCTCATAGAGACCAATTGTCTGAAAGCAGGGTGTCAGGTGGCTCTATCATATAGGGGCCTGGAACTAATATCAGCTGAAATGATAACCCTTTTAGTGCATG